CTAGATATTTCAGAGCCCAGTCAGGTATTGGCTTGTGTGATTTCTCGATCTTCCTTATTTGATCGCATTAGAGAGCGCTAATATGATGATCCTTATTTGCTTTTCCTTAAGGACAGAGTTCAGCACGATGATGCCAGAGATGTGACTATTGGTGATGATGGGGTATTGAAGATGTACGGTCAGATATGTGTGCCCAATGTAGATGGGCTCCGGGAGTTGATTCTGGAGGAGGCCCATAGCTCGCGGTATTCCATTCATCTGGGTATTGTAAATATGTATCAGGATCCGAGACAACATTATTGGTGGAGGAGAATGAAAAAGGACATTTTGGGATTTGTAGCTCGGTGTCTTGATTGTCAGCAGGTGAAATATGAGCATCAGAGACTGGGTGGCTTGCTTCAACAAATGGATATTCCAGAGTGGAAGTGAGAGCGGGACTTTGTAGTTGGGCTCCCACGGACTTTGAAAAAGTTTGATGCTATTTGGGTGATTGTGGATCGGCTGACCAAGTTCACGCACTTCATTCCGGTTTGTACTACCTATTCTTCAGAGCGGTTGGAAGGGATCTATATTCGGGAGATTGTTTGTTTGCATGGTGTCCCAGTTTCTATCATTTCAGATAGGGGCACTCAGTTTACTTCACAGTTTTGGAGGTCTGTGCAACGAGAGTTGGGTACTTAGGTTGAGTTGAGCACAACTTTTCACCCTCAGACGGACGGGCAGTCCGAGTGCACTATTCAGATATTGGAGGACATGTTGCGTTTGTGTCATTGATTTTGGATGGTCATGGGATCAATTTCTACCGCTCGCAGAGTTTGCTTATAACAACAACTACCAGTCGAGTATTTAGATGGCTCCATATGAGGTTTTGTATGGGAGACATTGTAGATCTCCAGTTGGTTGGTTTGAGTCGGGTGAGGGCAGGCTATTGGGTACAGACTTGGTGCAGGATGCTTTTGGACAAAATGAAGGTGATTTAGGAGAGGCTTCCTACAGCCTAATCGAGACAAAAGAGTTATGCTGATAGGAAGGTTCGGGATGTGTCCTACATGGTTGGTGAGAAGGTCTTGTTGAAGGTTTTGCCCATGAAGGGTGTTATGAGATTTAGGAAGAAGGGTAAATTGAGTCCTCGGTTCATTGGGCCTTTTGAGGTGCTTCGGAGGATTAGGGGTGGCTTGTGAGCTTATTTTGCCACCCAGCTTGTCGAGTGTACATCCGGTATTTCATGTTTCTATGCTCCAGAAGTATATTGGCGATCCATTTCATATTTTGGATTTTAGCACGGTTCAGTTAGATGATGATTTGACTTATGGTGTGGAGCCAGTAGCTATTTTGGAGTGTCAGGTTCGAAAGTTGATTTCAAAGGATATAATTTCAGTTAAAGTACAGTGGAGAGGTCGGCACGTGGAGGAGGCTACCTGGGAGACCGAGCGGGAGATGCGGAGCAGATATCCTCACCTATTTGAGGCTTCAGGTATGTTTCTTGACCCGTTCGATGACGAATGTTTGTTTAAGAAGGGAAGGATATAACGACTCGACCGGTCATTTCATGAGTTACCACTCTAATTCCCCTATTTCTGCATTTTATTGTCTTGTTCAGTGGTATTATATTTATCGGGTTGGTTGGCTTGGGTTCGGAAAGGTTTTGGTAAGGTTTGAGACACTTAGTCTCTTTTGAGTAAACTTAAGTTGGAAAAGTCAATCGGATGTTGACTTATGTGAAAAAGGGCTCGGATGTGAATTTCAATGGTTCCGATAGCTTCGGGATATGATTTGGGACTTAGGAGTGTGATCGGAACGTGTTTTGGAGGTCCGTAGTAGATTTAGGCTTGAATTGGCGAAATTGAAATTTTGGCGTTTTCCAGTTGATAGGTGAGATTTTGATATAGGGGTCGGAATGGAATTTTGGAAGTTGCAGTAGGTCCGTTGTGTCATTTGGGATGTGTGTGCAAAATTTCAGGTCATTTGGACGTGGTTTGATAGACTTTTTGATCGAAAGCGGAATTTGGAAGTTTTTGAAACTCTTAGGCTTGAATCCGATGTGTTTTGGTTGATTTAATATTGTTTGAGGTGTTTTGAAGATTGGTATAAGTTTGAATAGTGGTATATGACTTGTTGGTGCTTTTGGTTGAGGTCCCGGGGGCCTCGGGGTGATTCAGATGGTTGACGGGAGATTAGAGTTTGGTTTTTGGCAGCTGAAGATTTCCCATTGCTGTCATAACCGCACCTGCGGCTAGGGGACCGCAAGTGCGGGCTCGCAGAAGCGCCCAGATGCTCACAAATGCAGAATTGGCCATGTGGGGCTGGGATCGCAGAATCGGCTGCTCGATCGCACCTGAGGTGGCGCATGTGCGACTTCTTAATCGTAGATGCGGAAATGGGCGCATTCGTGAGAACCGCAGATGCGGTGCATTTGACCGCAGAAACGGAGGAAGGGCCGCAGGTGCGAAAACCCTGGGCCAGAAAGTATATAAACCCTCATTCGCGATTTTCAGCCTTTCTTCACCATTTTAAATCGATTTTTGGAGTTTTTGGGGGATTTTGAAGAGGGAATTAGAGGGAACTTCGTTGAGGTAAGAATTTTCATCATAAAACTCGTTCCTATGGTTTTATTTTATTGATTAGGCTTGAAATTTATGGAAAATTTGTGGGTAAATATTGAAGAAACTAGAGCTTGAGATTAGAGATCTTTGAGCAAGGGTTTGAGGGGCCATTTGTGGTCGGATTTTAGTACTTTTGATATGTATGAACTCTTGGGGAGATAATGAGTTTATTGATATAAATTTTATTGAATTTTGAGACGTGGGCCCAGGGGTCGGGTTTGGTTAATTTCGGGATTTGCGTTGTATTTTGATTACTTTCGAGTGGACTTTGTTCCTTTAGCATATTTTGATGGTTATGTACTGATTTTGGTTAGATTTGGAGCATCCGGAGGCCGATTCGAGAGGCAAAGGCATCGCGGGCTAGAGTTGGACCGGATAGAGGTGAGTGATGATTGTAAATGTTGTTCTGAGGGTATGAAACCTCGGATTTCACATCGTTGTGCTAGTTTGAGGTGATGCACACGCTAGATGACGAGTGTGAGGTCATGCACTGTTGGGAATTGTAACTTAGTCCGTCCCGAATGACTGTTTTACTGCGTAATTGATTGAAAACTGTTTGCTATCATCATGTTTTGGGCTGAATGCCATATTTGGGCTTCGTGCCGACTGTTTTGGACCCTTAGGGGATTTTTACTACTATTCCTCACTGTCTTGACTTTATACTTGTACTTAGTCATGCTATATTCTACTGTTTTTCATAACTCATCTATGTTTACTCTGTTTTGACATCTTAAATGATATTTTGAGTTGAGCATCATATTTTACTGTGCCCGAGTGGCTTTTAGAGATTTTTGACTGAGTAAGGCCGAGAGCCTGTATTGTGAGGTTATTATGGGATCTGGCTGTGCGCCGCAACGGTATTGTGCTGATTCATGATATGAGGCCGAGAGCCTGTTTGATTATGCCACGAGATGGCTTGTTATTGCGTTTGGGCCGTAAGGGGCCCTTTCCAGAGTCTGTACACCCCCAGTGAGCGCGGATACCCAGTGTGATATGTGATATAGCCCGAATGGCTGATGTTGTTCCTTGTTATTGCCCAAGGGGCTGATACGAGTGATTGTGAGATAGCCCGAGGGGCTGATTCTGTTGGTACTTTGCCCGAGGGGCTGGTTTTATGTGTTTATCTTTTCTCACTGCTTTTCATTCACTCGTTTTACTGTTAAAAGATGTCTTAAAGAAGCTTGTACTGAACTAAAGTATTTTTATAAGTTTTCACTGTTTTATTGCATTATATTGGTTTTATACTGCCTCTTTGTAGCATTGTGCTGTGTTTTACGTGTTTTCTTATCGCTCAACTGCTTTTACTTTTATTACTCACTGAGTTGGCGTACTCACATTACTCCTTGTACCCTGTGTGCAGATTCAGGAGCTTCAGGTCCCGTTAGCGAGGGCTGATTGCTTCCAACAGGCTGTTCGGAGTTCACTAGGTAGCTGCTCGACGTTCACAGCCCAGTGCTCCTCCTTGCTATCTCTATTTTCATTTGTGTTGGAATTGTACTAGACTGTGTAGACTTTTCGAACTCTTAGACGGATGTTTTAGATGCTCATGACTGGTGAAACCCCTATGTCAGGTTATGTTTGTTTCCGCAAATTGTACTATTTCACTTTTCTTTTGGGATTTAATCATGCTAATGACTTAAATTGAATTGTTATAACTGTTTAAATGGATTGGAAGTTTGTGTCGGCTGACCTTGTTTCACGATAGGCGCCATCACGACCAGATCCGGGTTTAGGATCGTAACAATATTTTACACAAAAATCTGTCTACCTTTTAAAAAATAATTGTTTGGGATCATTTACAAATTACAATATTTGGTTGACTTAAAGTATGTGATATATATTTATTTTACAAAGTGGAGGATAATGTATGGGTATATATTGATAATGTTTTTTCTAATAATAAGGTTTCGTATTTCAGGGTCATTGTAAGCTGCATTAGGAGTTTAGGAATTCTACATAAAAAATTTAATGTTTGCATAATTAGTACATGGTTTCGATTTAAAAATTCTGCATAAAACACTGTTTTCCTTTGCTAATCTTTGTTATATTCTCAATCTTTGTTATATGCCCATTTTACCAATCGAAGCAACTGCACTAAAAACGTGAATATTGTGCCACGAGTATATTTAAATTACAAGTAAAAACGGTATATTGGATTCAAGCTAAGATATGATATTCTGTTAAGTGTTAATTATCCATTAATAAGGACTCTAATTTCATTAAAATCCCCTAATGAAGTTATTAATCACAAGATTTAAATCATGGATATACAACTAACAACCACTTTATAGTAATTTTCACAAACAGAAAATTGAGAATATTCACCCTCAAAAGAAAATTCAGACACCTGCCGTGTCAGCAAGTAATCATAAAGGGTGGCAAAGAAAGAGGAAAAAGAGCAATTTGTTCATTTTACACTTTCTTGTCAACTTCAAAAACCCATCTCTAGCTCTCTTTCAAGATTCCCCTATTGGAAATAGACCATTTTTCACTTTCTTTAGCGACAAACGCCTAGCTCTTGCCTTTCTCTCTCTCTCTCGCTCTGCCTGTGATTTTGTGTGCGTGTTCTTGTGATATTTCCAAAGCAACCACTTTTAGCACTAAGATTCATCGTCGATCACAATATGGCTGACGAATCGATTTCAGGTTCTGCATCTATCTCTTAATGGGTACATAAAACATACATTTACAAATATTGAATGTATACTCTGTCTGTTATTGTTTCAGAATTCTGGTTTTAGTTGCTTATTTGTTTCAAGGTTCTACATTATCTTGAATCTTGTTCAGATATTCGATCTTTGTTGTTTCATGATAGTAGTAGCTTTCTTGGGTTGTTGTTTTTGTAATGATCATTATAGAAGCATCATATTTTAAAGAAGAGTTAGTGTTTTTTTCTTTACACTGTAATTCTAGTTGATCTGAACGAGTTCCTTATATTGCTATTAAGAAATTATGAATAAGAAAATTGGCCAAATGTGTCATATTTCGGTAGTAGATTTTCTTTTGTGGTTCTCTTCAAGTGTTGTCTTTTAATTTTTATTGTGTATATTGGAATTAAGTCCCGTTAATTCAGATTTTCACAAGATTGGAAGCTTTCTGGTAGAAAGAAAGAAAAATGATTTCTGGTTTATCTAATTCTGAACTACTTGATATAGCTCATGTAAACAAGGATTCATTTTGACGAAGTTTGTTAATGCATGCCCAAGTCTTGAATGAAATTAGTAGTAGTTGTATTTGTTAGCGTGGGGGGTTTAGCAAATTAGGAAAGAAAATTACAGGTCTGTTTTTTTATTTTAAAATAAAAATTTTGATGCTTTTAATTTAGAAGCTGCTATGATTTGATTTGATTCAAGAGAACTTGGTCATTTGGTTGTAAGCTCCGTTGAGCTCTGAACTTTGGTTGTTTGCAGGCAATTTGAAAGACCTTTCTTTGAACACGAATGGTGCGGCAACAAAGAAGTCTCATTTGGTTGTTTGCTTTGGAGAGATGCTGATTGACTTTGTCCCAACTGTCGGTGGAGTTTCACTTGCGGAAGCTCCTGCCTTCGAAAAAGCTCCTGGTGGTGCACCCGCTAATGTTGCTGTGTGCATTGCGAACTTAGGTGGTTCTTCTGCTTTTATTGGGAAGGTACAATTCTTTTCCTATTGTTCTTAATTCTCATTATATGCAGTAACGGAGGGTTGTTTGGATGAGAATGCTCCTTTTTTTCTCTTTTGGGTGGGAGGTTGAAAATGTTTGATCTAACATTTATTATGTTCTATAAGTGCATGTCTGATATTGGATTACAAATTTCTCCTATCAGAGGGTACCTACTTTGAATTGTTGAAGTCGTCCTTGACTCCTTGTGCTTTTGCCGTACTATATGGGGAGCAAGAATTCTTTGTTTTATTTTCTTGGTGCTTAAATATGTACAAGAACCATGCAGTGCAATTCTACTGTGAGATGTGTAGCATGAGAGCAATGCTGCCTTGTCCATGTACTGTGTTATATTGATACTTAAATTGTAAAATTCAAATCAGTTATTGTCTTTCAAATGGTGAATTCCGCTGATGCATGCCTAAATTTTTAGGTTGTGTTCACTCTCAAATAGAAAACTGAAAACAGATTCCTTCTTAGTAGTTCATGCGAATAGTTACTAAGTTCTTCTTTTTCTTTGGTCTTTTAAAAAAAAAAGGGAATTCATAAAGAAAAAGTTTAAATTGCTATTTTCTTGTTTGAAAATGCTAAGAATCCTTATCATTCTATAAAAAAGGCTTAAATCGCTACTTCTGCCTTCTGTGAGTGGATAAATGTGTAAATGATTTTGCATACTATGAGATAGGCTAGTGTAGAGTCTACTCAATCGCATAGAAACAGCAAACAGATTGTCCAGTCTATTGGTATCATCATGCTTTACGTATATATCGTCATCCAACTAGTTTTCAGATGAAGAATTTGGAACAGTGCTTGCATTAACATTTTTATATGTTTTGAGTTTCTGTATATATTGTTTATCAGTCAATAGAATGGATCTGGGATGAGGAATTTTACTTTTGCAAGACCCTGCACTGGTTCCACTTAGTCATGTTATGTACTTTCTTTTTGTTGCTTGTTCATCTTGTGGACTGAACGTTTTTCCCTTGCTTCTGTACTGATTATTATTCTTAATTGAAACCTTTGTGCTATGCTTTAATTGGCGATGACTTCAAATGCGGCCTATAGATAGCTTTAAGATCTGTGCATTTTGAATTAGGTCGGTGAGGATGACTTCGGGCGTATGTTAGCTGACATTTTGAAGCAACACAACGTTGACAATTCTGGCATGCGGTTTGACCATGATGCAAGGACTGCACTAGCCTTCGTTACACTCACAGCTGAAGGTGAGCGGGAATTCGTGTTTTTCCGCAATCCTAGTGCTGATATGTTTCTTCGGGAGTCAGAACTCGATGTAAATCTTGTTAAAAAGGTGTAAATTCCTGCTTTATTCCTTCAATGCATAGAAGCATTTTCCATTTAGCTTCAATGCAAGATTTCCTAAAAGGCGTATTAATCATGTCCAGGCCACCATTTTCCATTATGGTTCAATTAGTTTGATCGAAGAACCCTGTAGATCAACACAACTTGCTGCAATGGACATAGCCAAAAGATCAGGTAGCATACTCTCGTATGATCCAAACCTGAGATTGCCCTTGTGGCCTTCAGAAGATGCTGCTCGAAGTGGAATAATGAGTGTGTGGAACCTAGCAGATGTTATTAAGGTATGATTTTTCTCGATAAATGCATCACCTGCTGAGTTCTCTTTAACAATGAAATACTGTGTTTACATGCAGATAAGTGAGGACGAAATTTCATTCTTGACTGGAGCTGATGATCCAAATGATGATGACGTGGTGTTGAAGAGGCTTTTCCATCCTAATCTGAAGCTTTTGCTTGTAACTGAAGGTTCGGCTGGTTGTAGATATTACACCAAGGTATTATTTTCCCTATTTTATCCATATATTTTCTTTGATTTTGCAGGAAAACTAACATATAATGCTTAGAGTTGAAGATTTTACTATGCAGCTACAACATTATTTTCTCTGAAGATGTAAAATGTCTCAGCCTGCCAGGCACATTAAATTTTACCAAATAGTATTAAACAATAAGTAGAATTTACATTATGTATATTTATCATAAAAAAGAATTTTATGTTATTTATGCAGTGCATTTTTGTACTTACATGTTACTGTTAGTGATGTTAAATGCATGAATATCTTAGTTTTTGTCCTCTTAGAAACATTATTTGCCTGTAGATGCTGACTCAATTGATGCAGGAATTCAAGGGAAGAGTACATGGTATTAAAGTAAAAGCTGTTGATACAACTGGTGCGGGTGATGCATTTGTCGGTGGAATTCTCAAGTGTCTAGCTTCTGATGCTGATCTCTATCAGGTGCATGAATTTGGATATGAGCAAAAAAGCCAATAGTAGTTTTCTCATTGTTCATGCTTCTTACCGCAATCTATTGTTCACCTTATCATACTTTCTTCCCCTTGTCAACTCTTTTCTTGATTTGGTAAAAAAAAAAAGGCCCATTGTGACATCTTCACCCAATTGCATACCTTCACCCCCTCCCCTCTCTTTCTAATTCTAGTCTCTATTCTTACGAGGTTATAAATAGGGAGAATAACTCACAGAAGTTTGTAGTTTCAAGTAGCTGCTTCATGTTGACTTCGCAATTTTAACCGTGTCCTCTTGCTGAGAGGGCAAAATCCTTCCAGCAGTACTGAAAATCGAGTTACCCTGTCAAAACCAATTTGTCAGTTCACTGCTTTCGCGACTGTATAGTTATTTGATTGATGAGGTAATTTGTTCCCTGATAGTTTGATCGTACACCCCAGCAAGTTAAGATTGTTTTGCTTTCACCGGCTTAATTGGTCTTTCTCAGGATTGTTTTGCTTTCATCGGTGTAATTGGTCTTTCTCTAACTATATCCCATCACAACATTGTGAAAGATTCTATTGTCTCCTTTTGGTGGGCACTTTTTCTCGTTTATTTCCATTTTTAGATCTCATCATGTCTGTTTCATTGAGTGAACATCAAGCTCCTAACTTTGGAAATCCTTTTTATAATTTCTTGGTAGGATGAGAAGCGGTTAAGGGAGGCTCTCTTTTTCGCTAATGTTTGTGCTGCCCTGACAGTGACAGGAAGAGGTGGAATCCCTTCCCTTCCTACACAAGAAGCAGTTCAACAAACTCTCACCGAGGTCACTGCATAAGAAGACAAAACAAGTTTTGTTCTCATCATGTTGTATCTGCATTATTTTAGATTTATCTGCATAATGAGCTATTCATTTTCTTTTCGTCTCTGGTATCTGCTGGTTCTTTCCTCAATTTGGAAAGTTGTTGCAGTGAAAGAGACATCTAAGAGATGCAAGAAAAATAGCCTAGCGTCTTCTTTCGTCATACAAGGAAATGGTGGAAGCCTTTTCTGCTAATCCAAAAGAACTTTTGTACAAGCTGGGATGTCTCTGGTACATATCTGATCCTTGTTATGGATCCATCAGATCATGGTATACTTAGGATGTTAAACAGCGAAGATAGGGAGGGTTAATATTGAATTTTGAGGGAAAAATAAAGTGTGTATGCATTTCACGACCTTTGGTTATAGCTTTTGTTGTTGTTGTTCAATAATGGTACCACTGTAACAGAATGCCATTTCTTTCCTTTTCAATTGCCTTTCTTTTGTTTCCTTTAAGTCTCTGTATTAGGATCTGACTTCATGAGATCATTGTTTCGTGAGAACTAATGGGGAATCTGTCTTAATATGAAACAGCGGAACGAAACATTATGTGGTTTGACAAACAAGATATAATACTATTCTCAAATTAAGGGAAGCAAGTTAGCAGTATTACCTGTCAAAGCATGGGGTTTCACTGATTTGCATAATTTGATCTTATTACAATCGAATGAACTATTATACTCGGTGGGTGGGTACAATTCCAGCCTAACGTGAGAGGATGATGGGTCAGAAAAGTTGAACTTTCTTGGGACGATTTATCAGCAAATGTATACTACTACATATCAAATAAAAATGTGCTAAATGTTCAACACAGATAGTGCTTAGACTATCATCATGTTATCTAATAGAACCAAACCACAAAAACAATTAATAGTCAACCACATGCTTTAAAATTTTGTATCAGCATCCCGTTAATTTTATGTAACTATTTGCAATTCTATTTTTTTTTTTTCGATAATGACATTTTTTAAACTCCCGCAACGGTAGCCGAAGAGGGAAATAATCAAAAGTGAAGCTAGTTGGTATTTGCAGCTCTTCATCCATTTTTTGTTTATGGGGCCAACTTTGGCAAACTGATACTCGTAAAATTGACAAATGTGCTCTTCTTTCTTTTGCGCCCAACATTCCCCAAAATAAACATACTACCTGCAAATGCCAACGACGTGCTGGCGCCGCCTGCTGCTAATTAAAGCAAATTTCGCCAACTAGTTCCCACATTCAGCGAAACTCTCACTCTTTAGAAATTAGGATTCCTTCTACGAAAAAACTATTGTCAATTTCCCTAATCCACTGTCCGTATCGATCACTTTCCTTCTTCTTTTGGTTACTAGTGAAATTAGAGTGTTGTATCAATGGCAACCGACACCAATTCAGATCGGAATGCCACAGCCAAAACTGTGCTGCTTCCGGAGATTGGGCCCGATGGCATTGCTAGAGAATCACCCGCCATCGCTTACACCGAGAAGGTCCGTCTCTAATTTATACACTTAATGCGTGCTTGCTTTCAATACTTAAGTTACACTACTGACTACACGCACTGTTGATTGTTGCAATGTTGTTTCCAGATAATTGAGGACGAGCAGCTTCAGTTAAGAAAGTAAGTTGACTTGTTACTTCTACTCTCATGTATCTTACACTTCAGTGGGCAAATTCATGACTAAAGTATCTGTTAAATGTAGATTCGAGAGGTGAATATGGTGGTAAAATATGAAAAGCTAAGTATATAAACAAATTGACAAATCATATTGGTCCTGATTAGTATGTAAAGCTCATTTATGACTGATAAACTTATGGACAAACCAAATAATCCAAATCCTTTTTCTCATAAGGAGTTTAGTTTAGGAGCATTAAGAATTACATAGATTTTCCACAAATTGGAATTCGTGAAAGAGCTTTTCCTTCATTCTGCATATGAGAGCATCGCTGATAGAATGGAAAGATCAAGAAAATTGAAAAGGTAAAGTTGTTTCCATCACTGGAAAGCTCTTTTATCCTTGGAGATCCTTGTTCTACGGATTCTTACTGTTTTGCCAGTTTTTAGTCCGTGATCTTAGTTCCTCCTATCAAGTGAATACATTGTCAACAGTAATTGATTAGAGCAGAATATCTAAATAGGAACCTGAGATTATATGGAAGTAATGGAAGCATCTTGTAATCATGTTATCACCAGCATTTAAGTTCTTTTTACATCAGATATGCTCCCTAAGTTTTGCATAATGATTTTGCTCTTCTTTGTGTATCTTGTCAGATATATTGATGAAAATTACTCCAAGATCCGTGATGTTGAAAGGGAACTGGCAAATCTTTCAATGGAGATGAAACTTACAGCTGGGCCTAAGAAAGCAGGTCTGTGCCTTGAGTATGCTGCTTATTTGTAACCTTCAGGTCTTGTAATTGTATGGCTGATTTATGAGCACCGCTATAACCTTCAGCACTTGAACAAATGAGAAAGAAAATAGAAATGTCAACAGAGAAAATCCATATTGCTAAGCTCAAGGAAGAACAAGTACGAAAGGTTCGTCTCCCCTCTTTCTGTTCTTTTTGGTTTTAAAATCACTAGTTTCTTGCCACGTGCGTTGCACGTGTATTACCAGTCATATAATACACTATTTTATAAAATAATGTCAACATATTAGAATGAAGCTTTTATTAAATAATTATATATAAAAGAATAATGTATAAACGATTAATGTGGTTCACTGTATTGTGACTTGTTTGTCAAGGTTGAGATGATTGGATATTATCTGAACCTATTAAATCCAAGGAGAAAGATCTTTAATATTGTAGCATTGTTTTCTACTTTCGTCACCATTATAATTTGTTGTGCATAACCATCAACCGTAATCTTGATGCAAGAAGAATATCATTGCTCTTCTTTATTTATAATGTCGGTGATGTTTATATTAAACCTATGGTATGAATCCTATACATGAACATTTACCAATTTATTAGATCATATTATAAGAAAAGCATGTCTACTGTGAAAAAATCTTAAAAGCTACCTGCACATACATATGCCAGTAAGATATCCACAATATTAGCTATCTTCACTTCTTGATTTTTTCTAATTACGGACTAATACCAGTAACATGTTAGAAGAGTACCAAACAAATTTACATCGAGTTTAATATTATAAGGAAGGTAGCAAAAAAATTCAGATGCAAGTTCGTAAATGGCAAACTTTAAATGTTCGCTCCAGGCAAAAACCAATCTTTGCCAACAGCCAATTAACTTAAGCGAAATAGTAACTTCATTACCGAGTGAAACCTCCCAATACCATCTGATGACAAGATAAATATATGCATATGATGTTAGTACGTACACTATCTTCCAGCTTTTGAATAATTAAATGTATACTACAATAATCATCATAATAAAAGTAATAACGATACTATAACAATAACAACAACAACCACAAAAAAAATTCTAGAAATTAACATCACAATGATACCTCTACTTCATAACTTTCAAATTTTGCTTGTTCTGTAGCCAAGACCAAATTCTACCGATCAGTAAAATAGTTCTGTCAAGGACCAAAGTGCATTATAATCATAAAATGCAAGCAAATCATCAAATCACTTCATTTTGACTAAAATTAGCATCATTGAGTAACCAAACACATAAACTGTTATGAACTTTTTTGAAGAGAACATGCTAAGAAATCAAAACTAAAAGTAAAAAGATAAAAGGAAAGTTATCAGTGTCATCAACATTGAATTGAAGACACATAGATAGGCGTAGGACACGATTGATGAATACACTGGGACAAATAATCATATACTGTTTTCGATGAGAGCTCACTGGAGTTTACGTGTTTGGTATGGTGATTGTTTATGGAATAAGCCAAGGCTTTGGTGGAGCTTTTTCCCGCATAATATATGAAGAATATAAAAATTGCACCCTTCTTAATCTTAGTGTTATTCAGATATAACTTCAATTGTAATTTTTACTCGGTAAACTAAGATGCATTAATAAACATGACAAGAGTTATATGAAGAGATAAATATGGTGCTGTTACTGGTAAACGAAGGCAAGTGGCAATTACAAAGTTGCAATATAATTAAACACAATATTGACATCATACAATATGAATATGTTTCTAATTCACTTGATTCCTCATCCAAATAACTGAACCATAAACCCACAGATACATCCTACTTAGCATATTTGTGCAGAACGTGCCTAAGATGATTAGATTTCAAGATTAGCAAACAGTATTCGCACAAAAAAAATAAAATACAATCCATGTGTATTGGAGAAATCAAATATTTACTGCATCATACAGATATATAAATGTCTAAGTCATAGGGGCAATATATTTTTAAAGAGAATGAAACTAAACGGTGAAACTCTTCGGGAGCGAACAACGGTTGTCGCTTACTCTATTATGGATTAATCTTCTATGATTCTAGGATGGTGGGTTAGGAATGGCTTTGTCAGCCAGCAGCATTAGATTGTTCTATAGAAGTAGCACCTCTAGAATAAACAAATAATTGTGGATTTGTGGTCTCAGAATTCGAACTTTCATGCAGATGAAGTAGGTTGGAACATTATAGTAAAGAAGTCTGATCGCATACATACTAACAACATAAATCGGGGACCTAAATGACGCGAGCAAATTTCAGATCTTGCTCTTTCACATCAAAATTACTGTACTTATCTTTTTGAGTCTTGTATATTCATAGCGATGTATTGATTTTTAAAGGAATGAAACTAAAAGGTGCAACTCTTCAAGAGCGAGCAACAACTGACGTGAATTCTTTCAATCGGTATGATTCCATTGCCTTAGGTTTTTTGGATAAGCATGATATTTTGGTTATTTAGAAGGACATTTAGGTAATTTAACTTTTAGCTTTTGAGGTTCCCACTTTTATAATATTATAGATTATCTATCTAAATAATACTCATTCAATCTTTACTGTCCTTTTTTTTTTGGTATTTGACACTCAAAAGCACTTACTATTTCTAGGCTTGGACATGCTGTTTTAGATGGTGAAAGCTTGAAATGACGAGAAGGTGAAAGAAAAAGTGGTTATCAAATAATGGCTTTTAAATCTTTTGTTAAATTGTTAAAGGCACCTAAACTTTGAAATATAGAGTATTGTTCCTCTGTTCCATTTTATATGACACTATTACTATTGGGGAATCAAACAGCTTTTTCTGACTATTTTCAATTATGAAAAATTGTTACATAATAACTTTATGTAGTTTGTAAATTGTACATTTTATTTTCTTGATCGGAATCAATGTTCCAATTGATGCCAAAAAATCGAATGGTTTGACTCTTATACTTCAAATCCTACCATTCTTTCTGCAATGGATGGAAGTAATAGAAAAGTTACAGGATTTCAGCAGGTTTTCCTCTTCCTTGGTAACCTTCATGCAAGATCTTTGTTTTTCCGAAAGAGGTCAGCATAATCTTATTACATATGCATTTTCTGAAAATTGTGGAGAAAAGTAGAGATGGTTTGAAGGAGTCATCATGCCTATTCCGTCCCTAAAGGCCAGATGCTTGGTGAATAGTATATTTTTTCAGTGTAATCTCAAAGTTGTTAATGAAATTTGTATCTCTGCATGTACTGGATGCCAACCTCATGCAAAGGAGCTTGTGTGTTTTACAAAAAATATCCTCATAATTAAAAGAGAAATTTAATGATACAATCCATCTGCCTTTCCTCTTGTTTATTGCACACTTTGGAAGAACCTCTCACCATCACTGACAATTTGGTGACCCATTACTAACTCATTGAAAGAATACACACAACAACTACGCCTCAATCCCAAGCAAGTTGGGGTCGGCTATATGAATCCTCATTCATCATGCTGCTTCGTTTAATCCTCATCTTAGAACTCGCTGAAGAATTATAAGCAAAAAATTCTATATCTGAATAATTGCCTTGATGATTCACTGGGGATCCTATTGCTTTGTCCAGTCGTCTATTGTGAGGGTGAACAACTGAACGCGTACTATGCACCTCCCTCCCTCTGTATCTCATCATCTCCTGTCTCCTAAGGAGAAAGAGCTTTGCAGCGCCTTCAATGACCATCTAACCAACACCAAATAGCACTAAGATCAAATGCCACTTTTTGTTGGTCTAGCGTAATTTCTGTTCTGCCAATTCGTGCATATAGAAATCTATGGTCCATCTACAAGATTGGGGGGGGGGGGCAACCACTATATTGTGTTGTTTTTTTGGTTCCTTCTCCAATCTTTGGTTTTCCTCCCTCTGAACTACACGAGGGGTTTGCCAAGGAAGAAACTAGACCGCGAATCTGTACTGTGAGCATAGATGATATTAGCTTCTACAAATAATTAGTTATTCATTCCCAAGAAATCAGATATATGATAATAAAGTCTATTCTCAGGTCCATCTTATTACTTTATATCCTGTAGTTTCCTGTCTTATCAGTTACCTAGAGAAGGTCTTATCCTTCTCTCAATTGCCTGCATTTCCTCTTACAATACCCTAATGAGAATTTGTTTGTTTTCATATCTCTTTAATGGTTCTTCTTCCACAATTGCAACCTTTCTTCTGTATGTGATTTTCACCATTCAAAAAAGTTTTAGAAAAAAAGGACGGAGGAAAAGACAAAGAACATATAAAAAAGGGAAAAAAAAAATATTAAAAGGAGACATGGAAGAAGAGCTTCAGATTTTCCATTTAAAGAAAATTGTAACCAACTTCTAAATTTGGTATGTGATTTACTTCTTCTCATCTGATGATATCTCTAGGCATGGGAAGCAGCATCAAAAGCTGTTAAGGATGAGGAGGATATCAAGCAAAAGCTCTGTGAAGACTTGAATAATCTGGTACTTAACCCTCAGGGGTTGGCCTGGTGGCAATTGACTTGAGTCTTGGGGTTTGCTCCCTTTCAAGGTTTCAAGTTCGAATCTCACTGGGTGCAAACAATTTCTGAGGGACATCGGACTGGGTAAAACCTGAATTAACCGTGGTGCACTTGCGGGAAACTCCTTGCCGAGGGCCTGTGTACCCCCGGGATTAGTCGGGGCTCTTAGAGACTCGGACACCCGGTGCAAATAAAAAAAAAAATAATCTGGTACTTTGCTTTTGTATAATTTCCTTGTTTTTATTTATGGTGAGATTGTGTGAATCTTTTTGAAGTGTCATTACCTTTTACAGGTTCGTGAAAGTAGTAACAGTCAGCTTGCTAGATTGGAGGAACTGAAAAGGAAGCTGGAAGCTCTAAATCCAAGCAGAGCATCCACGTCCCCTGCCTTGGTAAGAATTACTTTTTATTTTCTAGATGGCTACTAGTTCTGTTAGCAGTTTGATATCTCCTTTTATGCTGTGGTATTTTATCTCCATTGGGACATGTGTTAATTGAGGTGCTGAGGATTTTCTTGACCTGTGATCCTCTTAGTAACTCAAGTCTTTGACTAATTCTAGAGTCCGGCAACACGCACTAAGTAGTATCTGCGGCAACCAACCTGCTGATTCAATATAAGCCTGCCTACAAGATGATGGTGCAAGAGGGAGTTTTAGAGACAATTGGAACTTGAGTCTCTGTTTAATCAATATGGTAATCTCAGATTGAATATATGAAACTTGAGTAGTTTTTGGGATATGGAGCCAAATTCTTTTACTTGATTTTTTTGTTGCTTATGAGTACTGATGTATTTTTCAACTGAATGTGGAGAATTATGATTTGATTCTTATTGCTTTTTATTAACCTTCTGTTTGCTTCTATGTTGCTTAACGAACTTTGTCATATATGGTTACTCTGTGAATATCATGATTGAATTTCCAATACACTTGTTTTCTGTTATTCCTTTTGCTTGATGGTGCTGAGCTCACCATTATTCCTTTCTCTTTTCCCAGACTGCATAAGATACTGTCTTTTGTTTGCTAAAACTTTCCCTGCTGTCTTCTATCCTTGATCACGAAAAGTGCCAAGTTTTCCACCCTTCCACCCACAAAATCAAATCAAGACCAGTCATTCACTCCCAAATATGCTATTCTTTTTTCCAATTGTAGGGTAGTGATTGCCTCGCATTTTGCATCTCCAAAATTATTCCATACTAGCATCAAGGTAAAGCTGTCTTATTTGTAAACCTGAAGAATTCTATTTGGCAGCACTTAAGCTTGAACAAAGTCCAACTTATTTGGGGTTTAAGGACAGTTCCCAAGCTGTCCAATTTGGCTGGACTGTAAGATTGGATGAGCTTGTGCCTAAAGAACAGTACCCAGAATGCCCCAGTTTGGCCAATGCTCTGAGCCATTTCATCAGAAAGCCCTTACTTCCCCTTGTTTGTCAGATGTACGACTATGTTTCATACTTATGTTATGTAAAGTGTGAGTAACTTTCCTAGCATCTCCCTTGCAAAAGAGATGACAATGTTGAGGGGAGAATGAGCATAATGTAGACCAGATGACATATTACCGCAGTGTAGCCAAAACTAGAAACTGAAAGGATCCTCCAGTGTTTGCATGAAACCTTTATCCTTCAAATAAGGCTAGCAGAGTTCCTCGTGCTTCTTTTTTGCTCCTTCCATAATCTTGATCGGTACTCCAAGAGTAAAAGTGGCACTGAGAATCTGATATGATATAATGCTTGCTGTGTTATCTGGTTAGTAATGCTTATTGTTAGAGATAACTATGTAATTGTCCCACATTGGAATAGGAGTAGTATCCCATTTGTATAGAGTAGCTATAAATAACACGTCTTGTATTACATTACACACAATATCAATATATATCATATTTTCTCCCGTGCCTTCTCACATGGTATCAGAGCTATCTTGAGAGATTTATCGCTGTGCATAAATTCCAGCAATTCCGGGAAGTGAAATCAGTCACCAGAACCCTTTTTCCGGTGACTTTCAAAGTTGTTTTGCGTCTGCTTTGTCTCAGTTAGTGTTGTGCAAAAAATCCAACACTACCACAAGAGTAGTCACTGTCCGGCGACCAAACCCCAGTGAAAATCTCCGGCGGTACTGTAGCTGTCCAAAGAAAATTTTTCGGCGAAGTTCCGACGTCGCGTGGGCCACCTTCCGGCCATTTTTGGCGACGACTCTTCAGGACAGATTGTTCCCCTTACAATTCCGAGCCTACCCATCCAGGTTACACCAAATTCCGACCACTTTTATATTTTTCCGGCGTGAATAGTGATTTCAAAAGTGGACTTCCGGCCATTTTTTGAAAAAGTTCCTTTAGAACAGTTGGGTCTTCTGGTAATTCCGATCCTATGCCTACTGTTTTTATTTCATTCCGACCACTTTGAATATTTTCCGGCAGCTACAGTACTTTCCGGTTGCTACAGTAACTTTCCAACTGCTACAGTGGTTTCCTATTCTGGTTCAGTGTTCCTTACTCTATTTTCAGTGGATTATAGTTGATTATTTCTCTTATTTGGTAATAATTTACAAGATGTCTTTGGAAATTGATGTTTTTGGGTTTAAAAGCATGAGTTCTGGAAACTCTAATGTTATGATTACCTCGGAATCTTTAATGGGAGGTTCAAACTACTTAGTTTTNATGGGAGGTTCAAACTACTTAGCTTGGGCTTCATCTGTCGAGTTGTGGTGTAAAGGTCAAGGTGTGCAAGATCATCTAATTAAACAGTCTAGCGAAGGAGATGAAAAGGCGATAGCGCTTTGGGCAAAAATTGATGCTTAATTATGTAACATCTTGTGGCGTTCTATTGATTCTAAGTTGATGCCTTTGTTTCGGCCATTCCAGACATGTTATTTGGTTTGGGCAAAGGCTCGTACCTTATACACTAATGACATATCTTGCTTCTATGATGTGACATCACGGATGATAAACTTAAAGAAGCAAGAATTAGATATGTCCACATACTTGGGTCAGGTACAGACAGTCATGGAGGAATTTGAGATATTGATGCCAGTTTCTGCTAGTGTGTCAAAACAACAAGAGCAACGACAGAAAATATTTCTAGTTCTTACACTCGCTGGACTTCCTCATGATCTTGATTCAGTACGAGACCAGATTTTGGCGAGTCCGACTGTCCCCACAGTTGATGAATTATTCTCTCGATTACTTCGCCTTGCTGCAGCACCAAGTCACCCAGTGATTTCATCACAGATACTTGATTCCTCTGTTCTTGAATCCCGGACAGGGGATGTTCGGGCATCTCAAACTATGGAGAATAGATGAGGAGGAGGAGATCTAAACCCAAGTGTTCTTATTGTCACAAACTTGGACACACTCGTGAAATGTGTTATTCCCTACATGGCCGTCCACCTAAAAATGCCTACGTTGCTCAGAGCGAGACTACAGGTAACCAGGGCTTTTCTGTATCTAAAGAAGAATATAATGAGCTCCTTCAGTATCGAGCAAGTAAGCAAACATCTCCACAAGTAGCCTCAGTTGCCCAGACTGACACTCCTATTGCTGGTAATTCTTTTGCTTGTGTTTCCCAGTCTAGTACTCTTGGACCATGGGTCATGGACTCGGGCGCTTCTGCTCACATCTCTGGTAATAAATTACTTTTGTCGAATATTGTATATTCACAGTCTCTTCCTACTGTTACTTTAGTCAATGGATGTCAAACTAAGGCACAAGGAGTTGGACAAGCCAACCCATTGTCTTCTATCACCCTAGATTCCGTTCTTTATGTTCCTAGTTGTCCTTTTAGTTTTGCATCTGTTAGTCGTTTGACTCGTGCCCACAGTTGTGGTATATATTTTATTGATGATTCTTTTATTATGCAGGACCGCAGTACGAGATGGACAATTGGTATAGGTCGTGAATCAGAAAGTCTTTACTACCTTAACTCGCTCAGTCCTTCCACAGCATGTCTAGTTACAGATCCTCCAGATCTAATCCACAGACTTTTAGGACATCCGAGTTTATCCAAACTTCAAAGGATGGTGCCTAGTTTATCCAGTTTGTATAGATTAGAATGTGAGTCGTGTCAGCTTGGGAAACATACCCGAGCTTCCTTTACGTGTAGTGTTGAGAGTCATGCAGAGTCTGTTTTCTCCTTGGTTCATTCTGATATATGGGGTCCTAGTAGAGTCAGTTCAACCTTGGGATTTCGTTATTTTGTTAGCTTTATTGATGATTACTCAAGATGTACTTGGCTTTTCTTAATGAAAGATCGTTCTGAGTTATTCTCTATATTCCAGAGTTTTTGTGCTGAAATCAAAAACCAATTTGGTGTCTCTATCCGCATTTTTCGCAGTGATAATGCCTTAGAATATGTATCTTCTCAGTTTCAGCAGTTTATGTCATCTCATGGAATTATTCATCAGACATCTTGTCCTTATACCCCCAGCAAAATGGGGTTGCAGAAAGAAAGAATAGGCACCTTATTGAGACTGCTCGCACACTTCTAATTGAGTCTCGTGTTCCGTTGCGTTTTTGGGGCGATGCAGTTCTCACAGCTTGTTGTTTGATTAATATGATGCCTTTATCTCCCATCAAGGATCAGATTCCACATTCAATATTGTTTCCTCAGTCAGCCTTATACCCTCTTCCACCTCGGGTTTTTGGGAGCACATGTTTTTGTTCGTAACTTAGCCCCGGGGAAAGATAAGTTAGCTCCTCGTGCTCTCAAGTGTCTTCCTTGGTTATTCTTGTGTTCAGAAGGGATATCATTGTTATTCACCTGACCTTCTTAAGTACCTTATTTCAGCTGACGTCACATTTTTTGAGTCTAAACCTTTCTTCACAACTGACGTCACTTCTGCTGACCACCATGACATATCTGAGGTCTTACTTGTATCGACTTTTGAGGAGTTTAGTAATCCTCCTCCACCTTCGACCACAGAGGTTTCACCCATACCAACTTTTGAGGAGTCCAGTGTTATCCCTCCTAGTTCCCCAGCCACAGGAACACCACTCTTGACTTATCATCGTCGTTCGCACCTTACATTAGGCCTATCTGGTTCTCGTTCTGCACCTGACACGGCTCCTACTGCGGATCCTGCTCCTAGTACACCGATTGCACTTCGGAAAGGTATACATACCATACTAAACCCTAATCCTCATTATGTTGGTTTGAGTTATCATCGTCTGTCATCTCCCCATTATGCTTTTATATCTTCATTGTCCTCGGTTTCCATCCCTAAGTCTACAGGTGAAGCATTGTCTCATCCAGGATGGCGACAGGCTATGAGTGACGAGATGTNAAAGGTATACGGACCACACTAAACCCTAATCCTCATTATGTTGGTTTGAGTTATCATCGTCTGTCATCTCCCCATTATGCTTTTATATCTTCATTGTCCTCGGTTTCCATCCCTAAGTCTACAGGTGAAGCGTTGTCTCATCCAGGATGGTGACAGGCTATGAGTGACGAGATGTCTGCTTTACATACAAGTGGTACATGAGAGCTTGTTCCTCTTCCTTAAGGCAATTCTACCGTTGGTTGTCGTTGGGTTTATGCAGTCAAAGTTGGTCTCGATGGCCAGATTGATCGACTTAAGGCACGTCTTGTTGCCAAAGGATACACTCAGATATTTGGGCTAGATTATAGTGATATCTTCTCTCTAGTGGCTAAAGTGGCATCCGTTCGCCTTTTTCTATCCATGGCTGCGGTTCGTCATTGGCCCCTCTATCAGTTGGACATTAAAAATGCCTTTCTTCACGGTGATCTTGAGGATGAGGTTTATATGGAGCAACTACCTAGTTTTGTTGCTCAGGGGGAGTCTCGTGGCCTTGTATGTCGCTTGCGTCGGTCACCTTATGGTCTAAAGCAGTCTCCTCGAGCCTGGTTTG